GCAGCCTGGACTCTGGGCAACTGTGCCCCCCCCCTTGACCACCTGTGGACTTCAACTCTCAGAATTCCTGCTGGCTCAGGAATTCTGGGAGTTGAAGTCCACAGGTGTTTAAGGGGCCAAAGCTCCCCACCCCTGTTCTAAAGTGAACCACAGGCCTGAGGATGGCGAGTGGGACCTCGCCAAAACATCGCCAAAATACTCTTAATCTTACACAGGAAAAGACCCGAACACACCTAGACCTACCCACCTACCTACCTACCTACATACATACATATATATATATATATATACCACATATATATATACACCATATATATATATATACCACATTAACACTTCATAGGTACTAGGTGGACTCCTTCCCCATCTATTTTAATTAAAGCAACTCCCCGCTAACCCTGTTACACTACACAGGGATTTCTGCATGCCCCACCCCTGGAGGCAAAAGTGATTGTAAAAGTTCTGGCTTCATTTCCACGTTGATCCTCCACTCTTTAAAGAGGATGATGACCTCTTGTGAACGATTAGCCCAAAACGGCAGCTGAAACAAAAAGCGGGGAGGGGATGCATCAAACAGGGTTAGGGTAGCTTTTTTCTTCTTTTCTTTCTTTGATAGTCATTAGCCCAGTCATTCATTCTTCTTCTTCTTCTTCTTGGGCCCTATTCATCATCGGACATTGGCGATCATGTTGGCCACCCTATTTTTATCCACAGCCTCAAGAAAAAAGTGCCACTGAGTTTTGTCCAAACCGGTCCCTTCAATTTTGAAGACACAATGTTCTTCTTCTGCCTGGACCTCGTTTGCCTGCAATCTTTCCCTGGAGGATTATGTGATGGATGCCGTATTTTTCAGGGTGTCGCATGCACAGGTGTAACTTCTAGCTTTTTACTGGGTTTTATTTCTCTTGGCTTTCCCAGGTGGATGATCCACCTCCTCATTTCTGATTTTGTCAACCTGACTTATACGTCACAGCCGCCTGTAAATCCACATTTCAAATGCTTCTCTAGTCTCTTCAAGTGGCTTTCCGTCAATAATTCATTAGAAACTTTTAATTGGGTCTCTGGTCTCTTTTCGATGCCGATTGGTCTCTCCCCCACTAAGCCCACTTTTCCCAGTCAGAGATTTATTAAAATTAAACAATCGATCAGAAAAGAGCTGGAAGGGACCTTGGAGGTCTTCTAGTCCAACTTGGAGCACCCACGACTTCTGAAGGCAAGCTGTCCCACTGTTAGGAAGTTCCTCCTTCATTCCAGGTTGCTTCGCTCCCGGATTAGTTTCCATCTGTTGTTTCTTGTCCTGACCTCTTGTGTTTGGAAAATAAGTTGACCCACTTCTCTTCTTTGGGGCAGCCCCTCAAATACTGGAATACTTTCATGTCACCTTCTTTGCTCTAGGCTGGCCATGCCCAATTCCTGCAACCGCTCTTCGTATGTTTTAGTCTCCGGGTCTTTAATCATCTTAGTTTAGGGGTGTCAAACTCGATTTCCTTGAGGGCCACATCAGGGTTGTGGCTTGACCTCTGGGGGCCAGGGTGGACGTGGGCAGCTTGACGTCACTCATGTCAAGGTGGTGAGTGCTCTGCATGCAAAAACGGGCTCCTGCGCTCCATTTCAGCTGCGACAGCTTCCTGCAACCCTCTGCCGGCGAAAACGGAGCTCCGTTTTTGCTGGCGGAGGCATCGCGGGTTTCTCCTTTGCTGTTTCCAGTCTAGCCCTGTGGGCCAGACCTAAGCACCCCGTGGGCTGTCCCCAGGCCCCGGCCCTTGAGTTTCACTGTCTTCGTTGCTCTTCTTTGCACTTTTTCCAAAGTCTCAACATCTTTCTTTAAATAATACAGTGACCAAACCTGGATGCAGTATTCCAGGTGTGATTTTACTATGACTTTCTAAAGCGGTGCTAATACTGCTTTATAAACAGATTACATGGAGCTCTGGTTTTTTTTTTTTTTTTTCTTAAAATCACACACACACACACACACACACAGAGCATCCATGAAGCCGGTGGCAGGGGAATGCGACCCAAAACTTGGAGACGTTTGTCTCTAAATTGCTTTTAAATACCTTGCGCTTATGAAATCCTAGCCCCGTCCATGCTCAAATTGAAGCACTGAGGGGAATGGAGGAATGAAACGTAAGGAATAATAACTGGTCATTTTGTCGAGATGTAAAGATAGTTTTATAATAGGGCATATGATTTCAGTGTCCGGGAGGGAGGGGCAGGGGGGAGAGAGAGAAAGGGGGTGTCAAAGGATCTCTTGGTAAGTATAGATTTTGCATCAAGTTACCGTAGGCAATCAGTATAGCTTTTAGGTTCAGCTTTCCTCTGCTTCATTGCTTCGATGATAGAGTAGAAATCCCAAAGCGTTTATGATTAATTACTCCCCGTAGATCCACATATTTCAAAGGAAAAAGAGAGAGAGAGAGAGAGAAGGCTATATGGCAAGAAAGAAGATCTGAAAAGTTGAAGAGCTTCAAAGGCCTAAATTTTGCAATGCAGAGACAATGTTGAAGGCAGAGGAGAGAATTTTACACAAATTGTTAAGCACAACAGCCTGGCTACAAACTAACCTGTGGACGGACACACACACACAAATCCAAAGTTTGCCCTCTACCTACCAATTACTATCATTTAATCGATCCGTTTGTCGTTTTTTAAAAATGTATCTTGCTTCTGTTCATCCAGCAATTCCTGCTAGATATGTTACTATTACAATGCCCAGGATCCCCAGCCAGCATGGTCTTTGGTGATCTGGGCTCTGTGGATCCCTCTAAGATGGAAGAACAGGAGTTCATAAAACTTCCCCATGCATGAATTCCCCCAAAGGGGTTGCTCCTAACAAAGCACAACCTTTGTGAGAACACAATGCAAAAGTTGGGCGATGTTGAGGGAGGTGTGGGGGCCTCCACTACGCAGCGCTTTAGTATGTGCTAGCCAGATTTGCAGTGCTGGTTTGTCACATTCTCACAAGAATGTAAAGGAAACCAGCAGGATGGAGCAATCGGGACACGGAGGATCTAGAAATCCTAATTTTCTGAAGAATGTTCCACAGAACTGGGCACCTGTAGCCCGAAGGAAGGATTAAGGGAGATGTTCTTGTCTTCAGCCATCTCAAAAGGGAGTTTAACTCTGGGTGGTACTGTCTCAGATATTGCCGGGGGTGGGGGGGTGGGTCGTGTGACCTCAGGGTTCCCATGCCAATATTTGTGGCTGGTCACAATTATGCAGGTGCAGGTAAGTGTGAATAAATACACCCTTTTTCACAAAGGAAACTAGCATCGTAGAGCATCTCAGCTGGGTATGGGAATTTTTCTTTCAAACGTTTTTCAAACATTCTACACTGTTTCTACATGAGCCTCAGTGGTGCAGTGGTTAGAGTGGAGTACTGCAGGCTACTTCTGCTGTCTGCCGGCTGCCTGCAATTTGGCAGTTCAAATCCCACCAGGCTCAAGGTGGACTCAGCCTTCCGTCCTTCCGAGGTGGGTCAAATGAGGACCCAAAATTGTTGGGGGCAAGAGGCTGACTCTGTAAACCGCTTAGGGAGGGCTGGAAATCATTGTGAAGCGGTATATAAGTGCTGTTGTTATTGCTGTTTTCCTTCCTTCCTTCCTTCCTTCCTTCCTTCCTTCCTTCCTTCCTTCCTTCCTCCCTCCCTCCCTCCCTCCCTCCCTCCTAGTGGCTAGAATGCAATATTGCAGGCTGACTCTGCCCACTGCCAGCAGTTCAATCCTGACCAACTGGCTCAAGGTTGAACTCAGCCTTCCGTCCTTCCGAGGTGGGTAAAATGAGGACCCAAATTGTTGAGGGCAAGAGGCTGACTCTGAAAACCGCTTAGAGAGGGCTGGGAAGCACTGTGAAGTGGTATTTAAGTCTAAAGTGCTATTGCTATTGCTACATTGAGTGGGGTTTTAAAGAAAATCAGAAATATTCAACTGTACCAGTCCGTACAGAAACCGCTTTTTGCAACAGTACAGTTAAGAAGATATAGGATTTATAACCTCTGTGAAGGTCTACTCTTTAAACCACCAAACAAAACTCACCTGGGTTCTTCAGCTAACAATTTTAAAACTTCAGATGGACCCTTGAAGCTTTAGTGTCATCTTTTTTACAAAAAGGCAATTCATTTAACCTTATGTTCAACAGATATCTTGCAAAGCCATGAACTGAGAAACTTCCACTTGCTAGAAATGATGATGGATTTATCAAGATGTAGATCTTTGTCTCTAAAAGAGCTCAGCTGTCAATTGCTTGCCCTTTCTGACTGTGAAAGGCAGAGTGACCCCAAATTTAACCCCGGTCTGCTACTGTCTATCCTGCAGCCTTGCCTTTTACCAAATGGCTTCATTCTCTTCTGAAGTCCCTGGCCGTTTCATCTGGCCGGCCTACGGGGAATGCCGTGTGAATGACTTAGAACCAAGCAAAGGAAGCTGAAAGAAGCTGGCGGTTCAGAAGTTTGCAACACAAGCCATTTTAATGGGTCTCGTTTCACTGGCTTTCGCCCTGGCTTGCCTAGGATCGGTAAATGTTCCCATGCTTTTAAAATCTTTCACAGTTCAAGAGGGCAGCAGAAGGGAAGTGGAGGGGGGAGCCAATGTGACAATTTACAAGAAAAAAAGCTGAAGAGGAGGGAAGAAAGGAGGGAGAGGAGGGAGGGAAAGAAGGAAGGACGGAAGGAAGGAGGTTGGAAGGAAGGAAGGAAGGGTGGGTGGGAGGGAAGGAAGGTGGGAAGGAAGGAAGGTGGGTAGGAAGGAGGCTGGTTGGAAGGAAGGAAGGAAGGAAGAAGGAGGGGGGAGGAAAGAAGGTGGGAAGGAAGGAGGTTGGAAGGAGGGTGGGTGGGAGGGAGGGAGGGAAGGAAGGTGGGAAGGAAGGAGGTTGGTTGGAAGGAAGGAAGGAGGGAGGGAGGGTGGGAAGGAAGGAAGGAAGGAAGGAAGGAAGGGAGGGAGGGAGGGAGGGAGGGAGGACCCAGATGGAGAATTAATTGTTCAGATTGTATATTGCAATACCTTTTTTCTTCAGAAATGTTCTTCTGTTTGCAAGTGGGCTTTGGCGAACTCGGGGGTTTTGTAAAAACTTCACTGCTGTGGCAATCTGCAGAAGGTGGAGAAAAGAAAAAGAGAAATTTAAAACAGGATTCATCAGAATTCAGATTCCAACCCAAGCGTGCTCTCAATGTTTTTACTACAAATACCTGGTTACCAGTAAATTTAAGTATATCAGTAATTTAATTTTGAGGCAGATCTATTATCAGAGAGCTCCCAAAGGTCATCTTTTGTGCTGTATAGCAGAGGTGTTGGAAAACGTTAATACAAACAATCAAGGAAAGAGGAAATGAAGGAGGGATGCGAAGCAACCATAACAATCTAGAAAAATGGATATTTAACCATTCCAAAATGCTAAGACGAGCGCAGTTAAAATGGATTTCTTCAAACAACAAAAAAAGGAGAGTAAGGTAGCTAAAGGCAGGAGCAAAAAAAAGCAAGGCAGCATTTGATCTTTATTTCAGCCTCTCAGTTTTCTATCATTCTACACTGAGATCTTATACTCATCGCAAGAGTTTATGATCTGTTGTTCTCTTCTGCAAAAAAATATAAACCCAGGGAATTGCTGCAGGGGGCTTGCTTTGAAGGGAAAAGCTGGCCCAAACCCTGTTTCGATCGCTCGGAAACCACCTTCTTCAATCTGGCTTCCTTCCGACACGCTGAATTAAACACCTATTATCCCAAATCACACGGGATAAAAAATGGCCTAAAGTCGCCTTGTTAATTAGTACGTGTTTGCTTTTTATTTTTTTATTTTTTAAGGGCCCAAAAGCGGCATGGAAAGTATGTTTTAGCATGTTCGGGAAAACAGGAGGTGACGAAACGGGGCTAGTTTTCGGCCTGCAAAGCTTGCAGAAGCCTTCCTCAAGCCTTTGGGAGGCCAGAAATCAGCTGTGAGGCACAGTGCAGGTAAGGGGGTGGCAGGGGGTAGGTGGGTGGGTGGATTGCACGTGCATGCATAGCGGGCGTGGGGGGCACACAATGCCTTATGGGTGCTGGCACACGAGCGCGAGTGTGCAAGCGCGCGCACAAGTTTTGGCACAGGAGCTGAAAAAGGTTAGCCAAAGGTTAGCCTTAGGGTGATGGTATTGTCTCTTCCCAGAAGCCAACCGTGGATCATCAAGTGATCAGCTCCATCCTGACTGTAGATCGGCCTTGACTTCCAATTTTGGGCCCTGTCCTGTGTCAGCCTTGGAAGGCATTTTTTTAGTTGGGAACTTTGAGGCTGCCACATTCAGTGCCTGGGAAATTGGGAGGGGGGATTTCATAGTGAGTAGAAGGTTAGAGACAACAACATTCTTTCTCAGAGAGTCAAGGACAAGTCGCCCTGTACCTGGAGGGGAATGTCCGGAGCAGGGGTCCCCAAACTTGGCAACTTTAAGGCTTGTGGACTTCAACTCCCAACTTCAATTCTGGGAGTTGAAGTCCACAAGTCTTAAAGTTGCCAAGTTTGGAGATCTCTGGTCTGGAGGAATGTCTCCAGTTGGGACGAAGATTTGATTGGGCCATGTGATGGACTGACGGGTGCAGGCGATGGATCTTTGATTTCTCTTTTGGGAAGGGAAAACCCAAAACGCTGAGATTCGGGTTTTCCCAGATGTGCCAATAGAACAATTCTAATAAAATGGAACTGTGAGGAAAGGCTTGTTTCGGAGTTTATTGGGTTGGAGTTGGTTAGTTGGAAAGTTGACATTAACCTGAATCTGAGCGTTGTAGGTTTTCCCTCATCAAAAGAACCTTCTAAGAAAGATGGGTTTGGGAGACTTTGAGGTGGGGGGGAGAGAAAACTCAACCCAGATGTTTTGCCGTAACTCAAGGGAACGTTGGCCTTCACCTGGTTTTCCAGAGATGCATCTTAGGTCAAAGAGTAAAAGTTTTGATGGCTTTTAATGGCTCTTTTGATGTACTCCTTGCGCATTCCATCAATGTTGTGTATGCATGTACAACAAACACCACTCCCCATCTTAAATGGCATCTCTTATTTCTTTAAATACATTAATCAGTCTTGTGTAGGCAAAACTGATCCATTGGACAATGCAATAAACATGAATTATCATCTATCCAACATGCATAATGGCTTAAAAAAACATAATAGCAGGTGTAGTTTAAATGATTAGCTATTACACCTGCGGTGCGTCTGATTCAATTGGGGGAAATCATCTTTAATAGGTTAAAAGGTTTAGATCAACGGGCCTCTCCCTTAAAGTGGCTGTAGAGAGGGTATGATGGAGTATGCTGTCATTACTAATTCATTTTAAAAAAAAAAAGCATGGGGGGAAATATAGCAAGGAACAGCATTATAAGAGCCAATCTAATTTAGACATCAGGTAAAGCAGAGGAACACCTTTTTAAAAAGCATGATAAATGAATTTGAGAGGGGAGATGAAATTCATATCTCTTCTTTTTTTTTTCTTTCCTTTTTTTAATTTTTAACGGGAAATTTGACCGAGTCCCAGCATACTTGGAATTGAAGAGAAAAAAAGAAGATGGGGAGGAGGTGGGAAGAGAGAGAGAGAGAGAAAGAGAGAGAAATCCCGTCTCTTTAAAGTTTAGCCTTCCATCATTTCAAATCATAAAATAATATGAAGCCACCAACAAGCCCACCTCCCCGCGACACATAAAGCGCCTCTCTGATCTTGTTTATGCCTCCTCGTTGATCTGCCTCGCTGGAAATGCCAGCGATGGGGAAATTGCACATTTAAGCGGCAACGGGTATCGCTGCACAAAAGGCAGAAGGATAAACAGTACAAATTAATAACCTGCGGGGGGAAGGAAAAAAAAAAGTGCTGAACCAGAGAGATGTCCGAATAAGCAGATACGGAGATGTGCCAGCGTATCAAAAGCGACTTAGCTTCCGTATTAATCACCGGCTCCTCCTGGAACTTTTTGATGGGCCTTGTTCTTTCGCAGCTGAAGGGGAGAGGAGGGGGAGAAGACCGAGACCAAAACGCTTGTTCAGACTTGGCAGGAGAAGGCAAACTTCCCCCCCCCCAAAAAAGGGGGGGGGGAAGCCTCCCCATTTGTACAGCTTCATTAACTTAAGTTTAACACTCCTTGGCTTGAGAGCAACAACATTTACGGACTATCAACCATTAAGGGATCATCGAATAAGGCCAGGCAGAGATTCCCAACTTTTATGGGACACTGGGGGAGTGTGGGGGGAGGGGATAAGAAAGCCATTGTCCAGTTGGACTCGGTCCTAACCCTCCTTAATCAAACCCTCTTTCTTGTATTGTAAGAGTGGGAAGGAATGGCCCAAAGAAGCGTTATTTCCCCAGCCTCGTTTAGGAGAACATAATCCCCAGAGTAGTGAAAACAGAGGCAAATTTTACAAGCAGGACACCTGCACAGATGCTATGATGGGATAACCTTCCAAGTTTTCATCCTGGTACCTACCGTCTTTCCCCGAAAATAAGACCCTGTCTTATAATTTTTTTGCCACCAAAAAAGGCACCAGGTCTTATTTTCGGGAGATGTCATCCACTGACTAACCTCACATCACCCCTGGCCTCCTTTTTGCTGTCAGAGGCCTTCAGAAACTTCTTCTTCTGAGGCCAGCAAGGGTTTACTTCAAGCTCAGGATCGATCCTGAGCTTTGTTCTCAGCTCCAGAGGCCTTCAGGAAAGCCTTGCCAGCTGCAGAAGAAATGGGCCGGCAAGGAAGGTGTCGAGGTGTGCGAGGCCTGGCTACAACTGTCCTAAGTTAAGTAGTAGGGCAGCTCCACCCCACCATAGCTTAATTTTTATCCGTGCAATCTGGAGTGAGCGAGATCTTAATTAGGGCTTATTTTTTTTTGGGGGGGGGGGGGTAGGGCATATATTGGGCAGCATGTGTAAAAATCAAGCTAGGCCTTACTTTCAGGATAGGTCATATTTTCGGGGAAATGGGGTATAAGAAAGCCTATCTCGGGATCTGGCCAATATCCCCAAGACTTCCACAGGGAAAGATTTGCTATCTCTTGCTGCTTTCAGATGGTTGCGTGGCATGCCTCGAAGGGAGATTTTGCAAATATCCAATGGACCACGGCTTTAGTCCTTGTGATTTGGGCCATGACTACATGGTCTCACCCGTCATCCCTTCTACAGCTCTGTCTACACTAAAATCGAGGGAAGGCTCCAGAGATCAACAATCCTATGAGGTCAAAGGTTGAACGGATAAACTACTCCCTGGTGGATGCAATTCCAATTTGAGGGGCGGGGAGAGTCTTGATCTTGCTTTCTTTTAAACTTAGAAATCATTCTTAAGCAATCCGTTTTAACACTCGTTCCATCCACTCAATTCTTTTGGATGCCTTTTCTTGTTTGTTGTTACGTATTGTTACTAATTTCATTTTTTTAAAAAAAATCCTATGCATTTTTGTTACCATCTGCAGTCACAACAATAAATGGATACATTGATCCAAATGGCATTTTTCTGGGGCATCGGGACTAAAAGTTTTTGTAGTTATGGCCAGGATAAAATATTATTTTCTCAGAAGGCAAATAAATAAGCTTGTTCCCACCCTCCACTCTAGATTCCTCAGGTGTTCTGTATCAAATGAATTTACCTGGGTCCTTTTGGGAGACGGGAGGAAACCCTCCTTATTTTTACCACTAAAATTCATACAGTGCCCAGAGTCATGGTGGAAATTTATCCTGAAATATGTTTTATAGGGTATTAAGTCCCCCAACTTTTTAAAATGGACTTTTCCAAGGTTTGTTTGTTCATCACATTGATACAACAGTTCATTTCTGGGCAGGGTACATTGAAATCCAGCCATACAAACCAACATTAAAAGTTGTATCATAATAAAAACATTGGATTGGATTGGATTGGAATGGAATAGAATAGAATGTAGGATAGGATAGGAATGATGAGTTGGAAGGGATTTTGGAGGTCTTCTAGTCCAACCCTCTGCTTAGGTAGAAAGCCTTATACCATTTCAGACAAACAGTTATCCAATCTCTTCTTTAAAACTTCCAGTGTTGAAGCGTTTATAACTTCTGGAGGCAACTTGTTCCACTGATTAATTGTTCTAACTGTCAGGAAATTTCATTAACAGCTGCAAAG